TGCTCTAGACCCTTCCAGAGCTGAGATATCGAATCTCAAAATTTCGACCCGAAAAAAAAACGACAGTGGTACCCCTTACTTTTTTTTTTTTGGGCGAAAATTAAGTTTCTCCAATCTTCTCAAAACTCTGGATTCTGATAGAGGGCATGAGACTTAAACCTGAGTGCAAAAATGGAGGCTCTAGACCCTCCAGAGCTGAGATATCGAAACTCAAAATTTCGACCCGAAAAAAAAACGACAGTGGTACCCTTACGTTTTTTTTTTTTTTTGGGCGAAAAATGAAGTGTCTCCAATCTTCTCAAAACTCTGGATTCTGATAGAGGGCCATGAGACTTAGACCTGAGTGCAAAAAATGGAGGCTCTAGACCCTTCCAGAGCTGAGATATCGAATCTCAAAATTTCGCCGAAAAAAAAACGACAGTGGTACCTTACGTTTTTTTTTTTTTGGGCGAAAAATGAAGTTTCTCCAATCTTCTCAAAACTCTGGATTCTGATAGAGGGCCTGAGACTTAGACCTGAGTGCAAAAATGGAGGCTCTAGACCCTTCCAGAGCTGAGATATCAAACTCAAAATTTCGACCGAAAAAAAACGACAGTGGTACCCCTTACGTTTTTTTTTTTGGGCGAAAAATGAAGTGTCTCCAATCTTCTCAAAACTCTGGATTCTGATAGAGGGCCATGAGACTTAGACCTGAGTGCAAAAATGGAGGCTCTAGACCCTTCCAGAGCTGAGATATCGAATCTCAAAATTTCGACCCGAAAAAAAAACGACAGTGGTACCCCTTACGTTTTTTTTTTTTTGGGCGAAAAATGAAGTGTCTCCAATCTTCTCAAAACCCTGGATTCTGATAGAGGGCCATGAGACTTAGACCTGAGTGCAAAAATGGAGGCTCTAGACCCTTCCAGAGCTGAGATATCGAATCTCAAAATTTCGACCCGAAAAAAAACGACAGTGGTACCCCTTACGTTTTTTTTTTTGGGCGAAAAATTAAGTTTCTCCAATCTTCCCAAATTCTGATAGAGGGCCATGAGACTTAAACCTGAGTGCAAAAATGGAGGCTCTAGCCCCTTCCAGAGCTGAGATATCGAAACTCAAAATTTCGATCCGAAAAATAAATCGACAGCGCATTCATTTTAATAGACAAACAGAGAACTGCAATCAAGGCATTTGTCGATCGGAAAGCTATTTTTGGTTTCCTTCCTACATGATTCGGGAAAAGTGTAACTTATCAGCTGGCTCTGATGGTCGTTAAGAAGATGGAACATAATGAAAAGCCTTTGGTCGTTGTGGTTTCTCCTTTGGTGGCACTCATGGAGAAGTAAGTAAAAGAAGTAACACTCGTTATTTAACTTCTAAAATAAATAATGTTAGGCTACGTTCTGTATTTGAAAACTGCGCTATGCAAAGGAGTTGACTTACTGCGTTGCTCTGATTGGTTGTAGGTCTGTCCGACTATCCAATTGAGTGCAGTTTTTTTTTTCCTGGTTCGGTTACGACACGCCTCATAATCAAAGCCCAACGGAGGAGTTTCAGATTCATATTCTCACTTGAATATGAGTATGATGAAGTCAGGCTATAGCTAGAGTAACTGGAAATCAAAATACAGTGACTTGCTGGCAACCGTCCTGCCAGTACTGTAAAAATACAAGAAAACACAGGATGCACACAGGAAAAGACTCTAACATGAATGCATTGATTGATTCCTAGGTTTATTTTGTTATGAATAAACAAATGTGCAATATAAAGAAAAAAACTTACAATTAAAGTTGTAATGTTATAATGTTCAAGTTTTTGTTCTAAAAAAAGAAAGATGCACAGAGAAAATGACTCTAATATGACCAGATTGATTGATTCGAAGATATTTAGTTTGTTACAATGTGCAATCTGTAAAATAAAAACCTCAAAATTATAGTTAAAATGGTATACTGCTGGAATTTGTTTGACCTTGAGAAAAAGCTTAAAGTATAGACCAAAAAATGTTATGTTTATAAATTTATTTCATGTTGGTACATTTTTGGGAAGTACACCTGTTTTGACTTGATGTTCATTGGAATGGACAAAAAAAAAAAAATCACAATGAAAGCAATTATATAAAAAAATCATTTGTTTTAATTTATAGAAACCTCATGAGCTGGGAAAATGTACTTTTATATTTTTCAGAAACTTGAAACATAATTTAGGTCTGAGGGGGTTAACGGCCTTCACAGACTTGAGCAAAAAAAAAAAAAAGTTCACATGATTTCATTTATTGAATATTTACAAACTTTTCAGGATTGACAATCCTAAAAAATAATCTACTGTACATTGCATTTTGGTTCACATATCTGTTGCAGTCGAGCGGAACATGTTTAATGTCAAATCAAAAGTGTAAATCTCCCCGTTACACACGCGCGACCCGTCGTCGTGAAGATCGAGGTCACGTGACAGAGTGCTTTACACAAATCAAACTAGCGAATGCATTACAAGCGTTTAAACACAAGACGACCTTTGAATCCAGTGT